TTAGGTCTGTCAGTTTAACGCGTTACTAAATTAATTAATTAGTTATGAAAAAATAACTCAAATATCAAATATTTTAAAGCAGTCAGAGCACTGGCCCCGCCCCCAGACCTGTACGTCATCTTACAGTTCATACAGTTGACTGTTGACAAACATTATGCAGGGCAACAACTCCATGAATGCAGTTATGCCCTAAAAATCAAGATATTGGGGCAAAAAATGCCTCTGTATGAGTTTTTGTCTCATATCATATGATAAGCGATATCACACCAGCAGCGAGCGCAATATCAATAGCAATAACGAGTGCTGTTTTTGTCACGAAGAACACGATTGAAAATGTAATTTTATACAGCAGTTCAGTAAATAAGAAGTTAATATTGTGTTATATTTTAAACATAATAGTGTCGGTTTTTGCTCAGTTTTGCCAACGAAAATATTACCTATATAAAGCCACACAGCGGTGTTTAGTTTCTGAATGAATCCACGTTTTGAACGAATCGTGTGAACCAATGATTCAGCAGCCCATTCATACAATAGTGTTGTGGTCTGCAGCTGATATATCTCCATTCATAGAGAGAGCGTTCACTGAATTCCTGAATGAATCAGCCGTTTGAACGAAACGAATGAATGAATGACTCATAAAGACACTTACCGCCACCTGCTGGCAGATATAGTTTATTATTAAGAGTATCATTTAATTTATTAAAAAAAAAAATTAATAAAAAACATTAAAGGGATAGTTCACCAGAAATAAATAAATAAATAAATAAATAAATAAACAAATGTCATAATTTACACACCCTCATGTTGTTTCAAGCCTTTCTTATGCACAACATAAAAGAAGGTATTTTGAATACTGTTGGCTAAGCTGTTTGGGTCACTAGTGACTTTCATTGCATTAACAAAAAATACTGAGATGTTTCTCAAATTATCTTCTTTAATTTTCCATACTTTGTGTTAGGCCATTGTAGCCTAAACATTTTACACAACAATAGCTTTAAATTATCTTTTGGGGGTATTTTCACAGCCAAATTTAGTTTGCGAT